TCATACTGTACCAACATCTCACATCAATTTCAAATTTAAACCAATAGTTTTTGTCGTCTTGTGTCATGTCACAGCTTAACTGACCTCAAATGATTTGATTGGGCCAGGGAGCTGGATCCAGCAATCAGCAATACTGTACCAACATCTCACATCAATTTCAAATTTAAACCAATAGTTTTTGACGTCTTATATCACATCACAGCTTATCTGACAAAAACACACACATTCTATGTTCTATCTCCAGTGGTTTTGATAATACTTTGACATTGACTATTATTTTTAGGGTGTGTTGACTGTGAATGTAGTCATTGTGGTGACTGTCCACAACATGGTCCTTTAAATCTGATTGAAGATACACCAATAGAAAGCAAAGCCAGGATGAGTTTACCAAAACTATTGAGATTTCAAAAATCAATGATTTCTAACCATTCTGTAGGTAAGTTCATATGTAAAATATTTTTTGTTCCCTTTTGTACAAAATCTCAAAATGGGAACTTGACCCCTGTGCATGCTTGCATGTGTGCTTGCATTTTGCGTCTGGGCCAATCACATTCCTACTTTACACATACCACATAGGTAGTCCAAATAGAAGAATTTTACTGTTTTATACTTATTTAACAATTAGAGCTATCTTCTATTCTATTCTATTCTATTCTATTCTATTCTATTCTATTCTATTCTATTCTATTCTATTCTATTCTATTCTATTCTATTCTATTCTATTCTATTCTATTCTATTCTATTCTATTCTATTCTATTCTATTCTATTCTATTCTATTCTATTCTATTCTATTCTATTCTATAGGTGTTTGGACATATGAATCACTGGGCAGTAGATGTCAATTTGGTCCTCTGAATGGCAAAATAATCAAAAAGAACGATGAAACTATTCCACAGGAAGTGCTCAACTCACCGATGGTTTGGGAGGTAAGCTACTACTGATTTTTATTGATTCATAAACCAAAAATTTATACCTGTATCTTGAAGTATTGGGTGCTGATATTTTATAGCTGATACTTTCCATGGTTTAATTAATTATATATGTCATTTTTATGTGTCATTTCTGAAATTATTTTTAATTGTTCTGAGGCCTAGTGTACTGTGGTTGGTGTGCTAGGCTATGATCAGTTGTTCCCTATGCATCTTAAAACATGATAGTTTTACTGTGGTAAAATGGTATTTGAGAAAATTTGGGGGTTACGCACAGTTATTATGTCTCCCACCAAATGTGTTAATTTTCCTCGGAGAGATCTTATATGTGCTACCAAATAATTATTAACATGTCTGGGAATTGAATACAAGTGCTATTTACCTCAGAAGTTATTCTTATATTAATGAAGGTTATTGTTTCAAAATAGTATAATTATCATTATGTAATTTAGGTTATATTGTTACGCAATATTCTGGGGAGAATAATGCGTATTCTAATGTAAGAATGTTTTCAGACATCCCTCACCACTTGTTAGTGTGAGAAAACAACAATCCCATACGTATATACAATAATTTTATAAAACATTCTTTGATTTGATAATATTAGTAAGATCAGAATCACAAAATAAGATCACAAAATACTGACCAATGACACAATGTGTAGAATATTAGCCAGAAGTGTGGAGTTAGTAAGCACTGTCAATGCAATATTAATAAAATCATGGCTTCAGAAATAGAAAATACTGTACCACTGGGAATGCTGAAAATGAGTAGATGAACAAAAACTTATTATTAACCTTTTCATCACCAGTTCCCGCTTTTCATCAAAAATTCACAAAATAGTCCCGTTTATAGTCTGTATTTTCAGAAGATTGGGACCAAAATAGCCAATTTTTTTTAGTAAAAACTGAACTGACTCAAATTTAGTCTGTTAGAATTAGGATTCATTTCCAGAAATATTGAAGACTAAAAGAAGACAATGCAGAATAATTTGGGTGAGAAAATCTGGTGGTGAAAAGGTTAATACTATTACCAGATACTGAACCTCTTGGAAGATCATTATTTTTTTTTAATGAATGTCTCACCTGTAAAAGTCTTGAATTATTCGTCAGGCACACTTGCCGTGGAGTTTGTGTTGACATCTTAGGCATCATTGTGTAGTACAAAGCATAATGGAATACATTGGAATTTTGATCTACCTCTTAATGGCAGTGTAAATATTATGTCAGTGTGCATATTTCTAACAATTATAATATTTTAATAATAAAATATTTTATAGATATTCATTGATGGTAAGTCAAGTCATTACATCGATGGCAGAGATGAGTCTGAGTCAAATTGGATGATATTTGTCAAGAGAGCTAGAAGACAGTCGGAACAGAATTTAGTTGCATACCAATATGGAAATAGTATTTATTTCACAACAAAACATTCGATAGAACCTGGGAAGGAATTACTACTTTGGTATAACAGAGAATATGCAAAACTTATAGGTAATTTTTTTTTTTATTTATGCAGTATAGATGCAGGCTTTTTTTTTGCTTTTTTATTATCCAAGCAGTCTTGGCTATACACTGTTAAAATTTCGCAGCATTGTGAATAGTTGGAACATACTAAAAAATATTTTAAATATAGAAAACAGTACAACATTCTCTCTTTTGATGCTTAGCAGATTAGCAGCTGTACTATAT